CTACGGAAGACCAATTGCCTCATGCCTCGCGTCTACGCTGCGCCTTATTTTTACCTGGCAAAATGACGACCCCGCAGGCACCCCGGGAGTGTTGGGCGGCTTTTGACGCGATACCTAATGGGGCTTGTACTGTATCGTTGTATCGGGGGCGCCACCTGAGGCTGCTGCGCCACAAGGGCAAGGGGAATAAGTACTACCCCCCCGTGGTCTTGCCATCTTGGCCATCTTTCGTGCCACTTCTCCCTGTGTTTTGTGTGCCGACCCCGCGAGTCAGGATATACATTTGGAAACAAACCCCAACAGCCGACGCAACGCGTAATTATCGGACTGACACGTTTTCATTAGCTTGGAATCCGTCGTTTGTTATTTATCGCGGCTTCTCACCCGTAATTTTCCGCCGAGGAATTAACTTTTGCTCTTTGACACAAATTATTATCCACTTTTCTTTGGTTGTATCATCGAAAAAGTGGGTCCGTCATCAGCCACTACGATATTATTGCCAAGTTCACAAGTTGAGCAGCGCTAAGCTCTTAGCGCCTGGTGGGTAGGCAACATCTTTGCTGCAGTGCGCGCGTGTACTGCGGGATGGCCTACCCCGAGTCTCACAGGCGCCGAGCCCTCTTATTTTTGCTCGATCGGACACACTGGCACGACGAACTACAAATTATCTATTGCTTCATCTTCTGTAGTGTTCTTAAATTTTTTTACGCTTACACGACTGACAAGGAGTTCTATCATTGACTTTAGTACTAGGCTGCTGGCTGTCCAGTCCAGATACATTGTACGACCAAATACCTCGGTATGTATTGAGGAGTCGAGGGGGCCTCTAAATGGCACGGCACCGCCGACAATACTCGTTTGGCCCCGTTGTACCGCACTCCTAAGTAGATGTGGTGTAGGTATAAACAGAGAAAAGTTTGTTTTTAGCTGTTTCAGCAAAGTAGAGATTTGAAGGCCGGGAAAAACCCAGGAAAAGTTAGGTGGAAAAAAATATAAAAAACAAAACAAAACAAACAACAACATGAAAATTAACGATTTTTTTTAAAGCCCCTGTTGTTGTTTTTTTTAAATTTTCACAGGACTATTTCCAGGAATACAAAGTTTTTTTCGGAAAAAACTTTTCCGGAAAATTAAAACCTCTAAAGCAAAATTTCATTATTGGAATGATCAATCCGTCGGTCGCACTACTCTTATTTTGGGGCCACACGCCCCCACCGCCACCACAGGGGGCGGATCAGGGAAAAAAGAGGGGGAGGGGTGAAGGAGG